ACATCAATTTATCGGTTTCTCTTTGGAGCCCTCGATCCTCGCTAAGACTGGCGTGCCTCAACGTCCACACCTTATCGCAGATTGGCCAACAGGCAGCACTTGCCTGAACACTAGAGACCCTACCGATAGATATCCGTTATCGGAAACTTGCCTGTAAGATTCGAGCTCCGTGCCTACCGTGCGATCCCACATATGCGACACTGGTGACACTTTCTCACTGCGCCTGTCCGGAGATGACGCGGCTTCAAATGTCGGTCAAGTGCGCGTGAGAATTGCTCTGAGCCCCCGGGCTGAAGCTGCCCCGATCGATTGGATCCCAATGAACATCTGAATGTGCACTGACAGACGCGGGGACAAACGGTGCCCGTTTGATATTGCTGTATACGCAGTCACAAATTGTAGCACTGACTCGGTGAAATAGGATTGCTATCACAAACTTAACGATCTCCTTCGTTGCAGGTAAAGTAAGGATATAGTGGGCAATCCTGGTGAGCTGAACGCCCAAGTTGGAAAGTTATCCTCTGACGGGCTTCATCTGGGCGGCCAACAGGGTGTCGGCTCCAGTAATGATAACGGTGAATGGTTACTACACCTGTGTGATGATGCTCGTCCGTTTCTCGCGAGCACCAACTTACTACACACTCGCAGAAGCGTGACTTGACGCCCACCAGCTTCGGACCAGCCATGGACGTAAATCGATCATATCGCGGTAATTAACCGCCTGAGGGGATGCGTTCAAAACTGTCATTCGATTTGAAGCACGAGCGTGGACTCCGACCACGCACTTGTATGCGCCGCACTGCGGGTGCGTCTCGGCGGACGTCCGCAACGACGCTGTGAGCGCACGGACACCAGCCGACTGGTGAGGCCGGGTGTTCTGAATGCCTGTCAAGGTACGCTGGCATCCGAGTCCAGTCAACACCGGCGAAGATTAATGGTTGCATATTCGCTAGTTGTTACTTTCAGTAGGCATGTATTCATGCGGGAAATAAAATCACCAACCTAGACGACACTGCGTCTCCGCACAGTCCCTGGAACTTCTGGATGCTGGTCGACGTGTTTCGGCTAAGAGTGAACATAAGAAAACTCGCAAATATCTCACGATGGAACTGCGTGCTAGCCTGAGAGACCGTGAAGCCAGCGATTTCATCGTACGTCGGAAATGTAAACAGCCCTTGACCTTAATAACCATCTGTTAGTCTGTATGATAGGGGAAACGTGCAGCAGGAGACGTGGCGTTAGCGAGACCATACGCGACGAGAGCGGACAGCCTACCCACAGCTTGTCAAAACGCTTACAACGTTGAACACTTTGAAAACAGTTTAGTAAAGCTGAGTTAGCACATTTTTCGGGCACAGTGTTCTCCCTGGGTCGTATCCTCGGATCCGAACTCACGCAAAGAAATCGGACGTGTGATCAGGCGGTTGAAAGTGAATAAGGCCGCAGAGGTAGATAGACTTTCCTCAGCCTCCTTCACATTCCTGGAACCTGCTCTTGTAAATGAGTTGCACAACTTACTTGTGAAGCTGTGGGACCAGGAGACTGGCCCAACAGACTGGAGCCGCTCCGTCATAGTCCCAATTTTCAGGGGTTTCACGTTCGGAATGGAACAATCATGGAGGAGTCTAACCTGAACTGCCAATAAATTGCTTGCGTGTCATTCTCCATAGACCCGCTGGCACACGTGAAAGTCCGAATTGTGAGGAACGAGTCGGGTTTTGTCGACATCGAGGCTACAGCGACATGTTTGCGTCAATCGCTAGAGCAGTGAAATTTATTGGTGACCCACCGTAGTCATGTTTCACGACATCAAAGGTGCCTTTAATTCGGTGGATCGATGTGCCGTTTTGGACTGTGCTTAGGGAAGGTGTGCCAGATAAACAAGTAAATATTATCAAAGCGCTTTACGCACAGTTCGGGGAGTTTATAGCAAACTCTCGACGTCCTCCAATATCTCCAGCGGGGTGGGACAAGGTTGTCCGTTGTCACCATTTGTCTTTAACTTCATCATTGTCGAAGTCATGAAAAAAGCATTTAGTTATCACTTGGTATTTTGTAGTCTTAGTATTTCGTATTACGGCACAATAGTAGGTGCGCTTCGAGCGTGTCGATCAATTCGACATCGCAATCAATGCCGATAAATGTGTCTTCGGCCAGTCATTTGTTGACTTCCTTGGTCACTGAATCGATCACGATGGTATTAGCTCACTTACTAAAAAAGCACAGGTTATCGCAGATTATCCGATGCAGTAATCGTTCGAACGTTTACGTCGTTACGTCGTTATGGCAAACTATTACAGCCGCTTCATTCCAGTGTTTTAGGCTCCTTCATCTATTGACATATCTGCAAGTCTCTCAAGTTTGAACTAATTGCGGAAGCCACAGCAGCATTGGACAGGATCAAACACGCGCTTTCCAAGGCTGCTGCGCTTAGTCACTTGAGGGCTGATGTCGGCATGTCTCACATTCTCAAAATGGTACATCGCAAACGGCCTTGGGTGTGGTTCTCCAGGTCATAGACGGTCAACCTAAATCAGTCTTTCCTCCCTCGAAAGCAACAACCCTTTTAGACGTGAGACAGTATTTTCGGCCGATAACCATCAGCCACTTACATCGCTCTCAAGCACTTACGCCACTTGCTTGAAAGACGCTTATTTACCATCCTTATGGATCATAAGCCACTTGCTTTTGCTTTTCGTGGTTCTTCCTATCGCTTGTCACCTCCAGAAATGCGGTATTTGGACCACTTCACACATTACTACGGATATTCGACGCCGACGCAGCTCACAATGTTTGACTTGACGTTATGTCTCCCACTGGTCACCACGAAATTTCGCGCCAAGCAAGCAACCTAGAAGACATCGCTACTCATTAAGAAACAGATCTTGAGTTTGATCAGTTGAAGTTAAATCCCTTTATTAAGCTCTCAATTTCCTGTTTGTGACTTGGACTCTAGAATTTACTGTGATACCAAAAAGTCTCGATCATTCGTCCCGCAACCGTATCTGCATGGAGTCTCGCATCCAAGCATAAGCGAAAGCAGCAAGCTGATCACGGATCGTTATCTCTGGCAAAATACGCACTCTGATATCCAGCGGTGGGCTGGGCATTGCAGCACTCTCTAGAACAGTAAGATACATCGCCACACGGTTACTGTCCATGGAACATTTTCACTGCCCGGAACGCTCGATTCAAAGATGTACATACTGACATTGTTGGACCTCAGCTCCCATCCAACGGTTTTACTTACGTGTAGATATTTGTCAATTGTTTCACGCATTGGCCACACATTGCGCCGCTACGAGGTATCAGATGAGACCGTTGTACGAACTTTCAAAAAACATGGATTTCTGTGTTTGGCACTTACACCACTATCACCAAGGACAGAAAACAGTTTAATCCTGCTGTTTCGCGAATTTAGCCGCATGCTCGGCTGATCTCATTTGCCCGCGACAGCATAACATTCAGCTACTAATGGGTTAGACAAACGTTTACATTGCCAACTCAAGGCCATACTTACCGCTACGCAACCGAATACTCAGTCGTCAGAGCGCCTGCCGATCATTCTCCTCGGTATTTGTAACACTGTATGGGATACCCGCAGAATTAGTCTTTGGTACAACACATGCTTCCTGGAGAAATTGTTTTGGATAAAGGATCAAGGGCGAAGTACATCTTAAGTGGTATGTCACACGTCGACACTGTTCGTCCGACGTCATCACGCTTCAATTTTAGAAGCCAACGCGCTCACCACAACTTGCACACGTGCCCCTTCGTTCACGTACATGTCGATACGGTTTGCAAACCTCCGATGGCGTCTTACGAGGGTTTTTCTCGCAAATGCTTCTAAAGATTTTGTCAGCATCGACCACATAAAACCAGTCGCCGCAACAGACTGCCGACACTACTGGCGCATCACATGAGTTTGTACAAATTTCGCTAACTCACATGCAACAGCCCTGAGTAAGAGGTATAAATACTACCAAGGTACAACTACCCTGTCGTCACAAATGGACGGTAAGCCGTCTTATCTGGGCGTGCTTTCGGTCACTCACAGAGGCAAAAAATTGGAATGAAAATAAATAGCGTGATCTGTCCAGATATGCCGTTAAATAAGATTGTACATCTTTAGAACCTATGTTCTTTGCCAAAAAGGTGTTACGTTGCAAGTAAATTGTAATCTCAGTAAGCGCAAGTGATCATTGGAGCTTCTTGAGTGACCAATATTTGTGCCCCGGCCGTCGTAATTGCACACCATTTTGGACGACTTTTGGTCCCACGTCGGAATTTCCGGTTAAGGTAAACGGCCATAGTATGATGTAATTACAAGTTAAGCGTCGAATTCCGCTTAATATTGACGGTATTTGCAATCAGGAAAAATGCGTACGTCCCACTTTGGGTCCCTGACAAAGAGTTCCGGTTTAGCCTAACGAATAAAGTATAGTGTAATTACAATATGGGAATTCATTTCGGTTTAATGTTGATGGCATTTGCAATTAGAAAAGTGCTTTTAAGATACATAGTAAGGGTGCGTTGGAAAAAAACATTGACTGACCAAAAGTCGTCCAAGAAGCGTCAATTTGGGACGGCCAGGGGCAAAAAAAATTGGTTACTCAGGGACGTAAAAAGGTCACCTCAGTGGCACACCTATTGGTCACTCGTGCGAACAGGGTACAGCTTATCCAACGGTCCGAAGTCACCAACAAGTCGCTATTTATGCATATTGTTTGGCGACCAGAGTGTACTAAAAAGCTATGCAAAGCTAATACCAAAAAATAAAAAACGCTTAAGTGCAGCTTATCCATGCGTATACAAAAAGGTAAAAAACAGCGAGATGCCAGTAATCAGCATCAAAGTGAATCTCACCATTAGAGTTATGACAGATGGCGCTCAGAAAATGAAATTGTAAAACAACCCGAATAATGACAGAAATTGGTTACGGGTTGCTGTTAAGGTGAAATGTGCGAGGCATACCCCACATTTGTAACAAAGGAACTTACCACTTGACGTGAAGCTAGGGTAATCAGATAGATTTCGAACTTTGGTCACTACAGTGGTAGGTGGTGCTTCAACGTTTTGTTTAGTACTAATGCCAGTATTTTCCAGGCTCATTATACGGCCTCACGGGCTAGGAACCGTCACCCGCGATCACAGCGACCAAAAGAAGGTCGACCTTCCGATGTAGCGCAAACATTCACAAAGCCCGCCAGAACATAAAAACAAATGAGACGCTCTCTGGTGAATAAGTGCCCTCTTAGATGATTCAATCAATCACCAACCAACCGCAAATAGAACATTGCCTCTTAATCTAAAACCTTCTGTGGCTAATTAAACTAAATCAAAGTCAACACCTAACTTAAGTCAACAATGCGTTGTATACACACATGAAAAGTGATTATATAGCCATATCACGCAAGCCAGAGATGGACCTCAAATTAAAGAAGAGTATAACAGATGACTATGGTGCGTCGGCAATTTGAAAACGTGGCAGATAGGGCATAATAGAAATTATTTGGCTTTAAGCTTCTGTTTGGCTACATTTTGGTCCATTAACAATTGTGACATGTGACGAACGTCTGACTGCCGTAGGCCAGTGTGGTAGCAAAATTGGCTTTTTAGATATGTCTGGCAGAAGAAGTCGTGTTAAATTCCGACAAACACTGTGATGGGATTGGTTGGCATTCGTCGGCATACTTGATGAAAAATTTCGGAATTGCGCACATGATTTAGGACAATAGGTCTGATCTACTCTAACACAGAAAGCTTGCTGCATCGAGCGTGCTGCTTTAATGACACTTTGAGAACTTCTTTTGTGATTTTGGAAGTTCAGCACTGGTGGATTTCACGTATAGTGAACGTGTGCGCAATGGGTGGTAAACCGTATGCACAAAGCAATTGACACCGATGAAGAACCAAATCGGGAGGCAATTTACTTTGTCTGCTGACTAACGAGAGACTTTTCAACTGATCTGATCAAGTGAGAGTACGTCTCATTATACCTCCTATGTATTTTACGCACGCACGATTTCAGACTAACAAGGTCAATCCAAACTGACAAGCTGTATGTGAGCAGCGGCTGCTAACCATTTTCCTTTGACAAAGAGAAAAGCGCATCTGTACACTTTGCTGACTTGAAGGCAAGGCTGCGGGATTTGTCCAGGGCAAAACATTTTTCAGAGGTATTGTTATCTATTCGATGGACTTGCAGTTTCAGCTTGGTGAACATAATCCGCAATACACATCCACCTAATCCAGCGGGATTCGAACCCATGACCACAAGCGGCTTGCAACGCCTGTCAGCAGCTTAAGCTTCTGGGCCACAGGGCACCTTGGTAACGTCATTATTCCCAAGCTGACTTCTGTCTAGTGCATCGGATACTTCACTGTCATGCGAGTTACGAACTTTGCGGAGGAGGTGGTTGATCCGAAAAGAAGCGAGGTCCAATTTCTGTAGCTATGTAGGTGTTGCGAGCATGTGAAATATTCCCGCAAAAATGCGCCAGAAATCCCTGCAGAATGGCTGTGGAAAGCGAGGTTCAATTCTTCCAAACAACGCAGCAGCGCTCAGCCACTCCGAGACGCGGCCCAACTGCGCACCTTTTGACAATGGTCTTTTACAAACTACCACCTCGTCGTGGTAGCAATTTTCCCTAACTTTATAACCCAACGCAATGGCTGTGGTTCGCCCTTTGTTGGTCGTAACAGAGCCTACAGAGGACCTCCTGTCTTTTTTCTTCGCCTTACTTGGGAGCCAGTCAGGTCACGTGATTTTGTGTGCGTCTTTAGTTGGCCAGTGTCACCAGCCGTTTTCGTAGGCGTTATTCAACCGTGCCAGCGACAAGCTTATCAGGCATTTACGCAATCAGAACAGAGGAGGCGTTCCCTCAATTATAACAGTAGGACATAGTATTTAGCAATTCTTAGGGTGGATATGTTGATATAGTCATAAGTAGGGGTGTTTATATAATTAATTAAGTTGTCGCCTCATGCTCTAGCCAGAATATCATAAGCTGCTAACGGAAAATTCAAACTGCTGGTGGTCATGGATATGAAGCTTGATAAATCTGATTGATGTGCACTGCTGATTATGAATAACAAGATGAAACCGCTACCCCCTGACTTCCCGGGACTATGATCGACCATCTCATTTGAAACAGGCTGCGACGAACGTTCGATTAACTATATCGAAATTCTCCTACTCATGAAAAAATTTTAATAAATTTTAAAATAAATAGTTAAATTGTTTATTCGGCACTCTGAGACGCCAGAGTAGACACGAACAAGGTTATACAAACACGAACTATCGATATTTGTGTACAAATTTTGCAAGCCTACCGGTAGCAAATGGTAGCTATTTGCGTGTATTTACAGCGTTTGTTTATTTATCAATGTCTCTATGTATGCAGGTTGTGCCACACACTGTAGTTTAAGCTGTATATACCACGCTTCTACTCCACAGTTGGGATACTCCGACTTACACTAGATTAGACTTTCTTGACCTCCATAAAAATCATTCCTAATTGTTTGCTTTGCTAAGTCTTGTTATTCTGCTGCATATACCGTGACCTGCTTGCGATTTTATTTATCTTAACTTCTGTGTCGGTGACTTGACGACCGTGGTGTTGCTGCGCTTGATATATAGTTTGACAAAGTTCCCACTTGTCTGCCACGATTCACCTCTATTGCATCCTCCAGGAGACTAAATAGTTGCTGAGGCAGGGTTGAACGGTTCTCATGTTTAAGCTAGGCTAAAATATTGATCCCATCCAATGTGCATCTGACTATACCCCAGCCACGGCTTTGTATCCGTCTTGTACACACGATTTCCAATTTAGGAAGACCGCAATGCCGCTACTTTTACCTTGAAAGAGTGTTGCCTGGCTCAGTTGTTGAAACCTGGCTCCCAACCACATCCCACCCGGTCTTATTTCTATAGGTATACGCTGGATATGGTGTATGTAAACGGAGCATTGGGTAGTGCCACACAAGCCGCCCATGATCCTTTTGTAGGCGTAGACACGCTGTGGCTATCCTATGAAGGCCAAAGTGATGGGCTGCTCCGGAACCGCATACGGCCAACCATGTAGGCAAGTTGATTGTATCTGTTTGCGTGTATCGGCGTTGTTAATTGTGGTTATTCGGGTCGCTAGGGTCAGGAAGGATCATGCGAACCCGTCTACGTGGATAAATGACTTCAATAGTGTGCACAACAGCAAGTAACCCTATAAAGCGTAGAGTCACATCTGCCGTTTCGCAATATTGTTTATAGAATTTTAGATCTTTCTATAGGGTGAAAGCTTGCCTCGCACAAATCAACCACTGCTAGAATCACTGCTGACAGAATATTTTTGTGAACAGGTTGAACCAAATCACACTTCTGTCACCAAGAGGAGGTTGTTCGGCGAGTCAACCAAAATGACTATGCGAAGGCAATGGCATTGCTTTGTGGACTACGCAACGTAATCCGTCCGAACAGGCCACTCTGCATAACAGTATCCGTTTTAAGCCCTTGTGTACTTTGCGATTTCAATGGGAGGCGAAACTAATGGGAGGAATACAACAGCAAAGCTGACATGTGTAGGACAAGCATTTAACCTACTAAAATGTTGCAGTTGAATTCCTCCTTAAAGAAAAGTGGCTATGACGTTGCGGTCTTTCATCATTTTTCATATTACTGGGCAAGTATTCTTTCCAAGCATGGGTTAGACATTTATTTCTTAAACGCAACACATTGCAGTTTTCATCAGTCCTGGAGGACTTTACTGGGCTAGCGGATTTGCGATTGAAAGTTTTTCCTTTGGGTCTTCACTGGCTATAGACCCTGAGATGAGAACATCTCTGCGCGGATAAAGCTTGTTTACAAAGTACATCAAATATAAAAGAAGAGCTTTAACTAGCCAACTGACTGATCACGATACTTCGATATACCAACTCTAAACTGGCTTGCAGCCTGTAGAAGCACTAAATAACTAATAAATAGGTTATACTCGACAATGCGAAACACGCTTGCAAAAGCATTGTCATGGTACTTACAACACTAAGAATTGGTAATGGTAAATCTCCGTACATGTTTTCAGTCGCATATGGGTCCACGTGCTGTGTACAAGCAGCTGTGCATGTAAGAAAGGTGTATGGCCGGGGTGCATTAACTAATAAATTTAAGGCCGCCATTGTGATTGCTTCCGGTTAAATCGTCAGCGGGACAAGGTGTGAAATAATATCAATGCATGGAGTGAACCTCGTTCATGGATTGGGTCATAGCCAGATAAGTAAGAAACGGTGCCTTTATTTAGTGCCAAGCCACCTTCGCCACATCGCATTGTTGTTAAGCAGACGCGTTTGGTTTCTTAAAGGGAGAACAAGCAGCCTGCGGAAACTCACCACGTCCTTGATGTTTCGAAAAGTCATTGCCATTGGTTAACTTGCATTATGTGCAGCGGATACCAACCTCGTGCTTCGCTTTCGTCATAGATATGAAGAAATAACTTATGGTGGCATGGCCTGAGACTGCTATTAGTGCAATGATACCGAAACATCGTTCTTTATGTTGCTAAGAAATAAAATTTCAGGGTTGCCTCCCAGTTGGTTGCAGACCGTACCATGTCATTCAGTCCAAGATTGTTATAAACAACGTGTCGTTTCAAATAACGTTATCGTCAAAATGCAAGAGAAAAATTTACCTAAATCCTTAAGTGAATAAATATGGGCAACATTCTAGACTTCTGTTAGAAGTTGTTACTACCAAATTTTCGTGCTCATGCAGCCGGGACCGTTTGATGACAGGTCGGCGGTTAAATTTAAATTTTTCTGGTGGCAACTGGTACATCTGTTTTTCGACTTTAATAAATGGCCTTCATAATACTAAGGATAGATAGCATTAATTAACGTCAATCGTTTAATAGTTATACATAGGGTATCTTGGGTAAACATTTTACTGAGGTAAAGTGGTTATAGTGAGTAAGGTCGTAATGCTGGCGGAAAGGCAAGGAATGGGAATGCGCTGAAAAATCGTTTAAGCAACGTAGTATCATTTTTGCTTGGGAAATGCTGTTAATTGTTGCATGTATTAATACAGAAATTGCCTGTGTATTATAAGCGGAAATGACTTTTTGCAATGCAGCAGTTGGAAGGGTTAGAAATCTACACGGAAGGTTAATTGCAAGGATGTTGCACATGGACGAGTTGAAATGCGATATTTTAAGGCAATTTATTTAT